TGCGTATCATTTGGCTCAGCCATTCCTGCCATTGTCTTATTGCTGGTGCTGTCATTATTGCAGCAAAAGCAGGTTGGCAATACACACGAGATCTCAATACAGGCAGTCCTCGACTTACGAGACATCACTCCGCAACCTTTCAATGTTATGATGGACGTTGAAAAGGGGCCCTGGCAGTCAGCCCCTATTTATGGCCGTTGCAGGATCCCGCAGCCACATGACCAAAGTTTATGACATTTTTGCTCCAAGCTGGCATTTACAATAGGTTCGCTTAATGACAGCAACAAAAAAGTCATAAAATCAAGCATAAAATTGCAGGCTCAATTCCTGGTTGTAAGTCGAGGACTATCTTTATTGTGGATGCTGTCCATATTTCAGGAGGGAGAAATATAGCAGGCACCATTACAGAGAAAGCAGACTTCTGGTGATCCACCAAATGACACTGTTTTGACATTCTTTTAAATTGGGACAGAATAGAATAGAATGGAATGGAATGGAATGGAGTGGAGTGGAGTGGAGTGGAGTGGAGTGGAGTAGAGTAGAGTAGAGTAGAGTAGAGTAGAGTAGAGTAGAGTAGAGTAGAGTAGAGTAGAGTAGAGTAGAGTAGAGTAGAGTAGAATATATGGGGATGGGAATAGAATAGAATAGAATAGAATAGAATAGAATAGAATAGAATAGAATAGAATAGAATAGAATAGAAAATAGAATAGAATAGAGACTAGAATAGAATAGACTAGACTAGACTAGAATAGAATAGAATAGAAAATAGAATAGAACAGAAAATAGAATAGAATATAGAATAGCATATAGAATATAGAATAGAATAGAATATAGAGTATAGAAGAGAATAGAATAGAATATAGATGTAGAATGTAGAATGTAGAATAGAATAGAATAGAATATCTCAAAATTACAACAGAGCATTTCACTGATCCTGACATCAGTGGCGCCATCTTGAGGCGGGTTGTTACTAATTTAACAACTATAGTGATTCACTTAACAACTGTGGCAAGAAACTGCTATAATATACGATCATAAGTCAAGGACTATTTATAATGTTGGCTGTGGTGGCATAATGGTTTGCCCGGTGCTCTTATAAAAAAAGGCATTTTCCTGGTATTGTATAAACACACACACACACACACACACACACAAATCCCTTGTAGAGATTGCTTTAAAGCCTTGCCCATAAAGATGTCACTCTCATTAGGAGTTAATTTCAATCTATTTTCAAAGCTCCTAACCTTCCTTTGAGGATACGTTATTCTGCGAACCTTTACCGTGCCTTTTTTCAAAATCCCGGGTTAGACTTTTAAATTTCCCCCTGAGAACAGAAGCACACAACTAATCTTTTACCCACACATTGCCCTTTTGTGTCTTCATGTGACCTCAAATTACCTTTCAAGAAGAAGATGTACTCAATAAGGGCAGAACCCCAAGGCAAGAATCTTGCTGACCGTTGATCAGGTCAAGGATTACAAGACAATTAATTACTAGCAATTTTCGGGACTTCAGAGAACAGGCAAAGGTGCTGACCTTTCCTTTTGTGTGTCGGCTTCCGTTGGGTCGAATCCAAAGAGTCTTCAGTGTGCTGCTGACACATCATTCTGGGTAATTTCTTTGAACTTGACATGATCCATTTTTTAAGACCTCTGTTTGCTACAAACACGATCTCCTCTTCCTCTTGTTCTGTGCTTCCCCCATGAGTATACATCAAGTAACTGAAAGTGGGAAAGAATTATAATAAGATAAAGGTAGTCCTAACCTAGAGGAACATATGAAAGCATAATTAATGTTAATTAATGTAGACTTTATTAGTTTAGAGCAGGAGTAGGCAACCTTGGCTCTTTTATGACTCGTGGACTTCAACTCCCAGAATTCCTGAGCCAGCCACGCTGAGGGGAAAGGGAGAGGTTTCCAAGCTGAACCATGCTGGCTCAGGAATTCTGGGAGTTGAAGTCCACAAGTCATAAAAGAGCCAAGGTTGCCTACCTCTGTCCTAGACTTACCATCACAACTGGGCACAAAATTTCTGTCCAGTGAGACAGTTGTTAAGCGAATTTTGCCCCATTTTACAATCTTTTTTGCCATACTTGTTAAGCGAATCACATCAGTTGTTAAGTCAGGAACACCGCTGTTAAGAGAATCTGGCTTCCCCAGTGACATTTCTTGTCAGGTCACAAAAGGGGAATCACACAACCCCCGGGACACTGCAACCGTCAGAAGTACAAGCCAGTGGCCAAGCATCTGAATGTTGATCACGTGACCATGGGGACGCTGCAATGGTCACAAGTGTGAAACATTCCTAAGTCACTTTTTTCAGTGCTGTTGTAAATTCAAATGGTTACTAAATGGAAGATTGTAAGTTGAGGATTACCTATAACTGGGTTTTTTTTATAGTAGACAAATGGTAGATATTAGAGGTCTACATCTGTGACTTTTTTTTTTAATGTTATAGAGCAATTTTGCAAATATAGATGTAGACGTTCATAGGCTGTGGACCTGTTTTGCAAGGGGAGGACAATTGTTGTTGCAGAAATATATTTATCAGTATTTAATGGTGGGGGAGAACTTTTTATGTGTAAGTTTAATATTTTGTTCTATATACTTTTTCCTTTGCTATTGTTTTGTATTCTTCTTTCTGGCACTTCGATTCTGTACTTCAACTTTGGAAATAAATAAAAAAATTCTAAGAAAAAACAATGAAGGCCTTGTGCAACCTGGCGCTGCCTCAGTTTTTTTTTAAAGAATAAATGAATATATAAATAATTGTTTCTTTTTTGATGGGGGGAGGGGGTGAGACACACCAGGACTGTCAAGTTAGGCTTTTTCTGAATTTTTGACACATTGAGCCCAAAGAGGAAAGCACAAAGCAGAAATAAAATTTTTGATCAACTCTTTGGGGGCTTATCATTCCTTATTCCAATACCCATTCCAGAATTCATACAGGTAGAGGAATACATAAATCGTCAGCCCCAAAATAACACTGATTGCTGTTTTGTCACGGTGGTATTCTCAGTGTGTGTCTTACAAGACCTTTTGTAGCCAAAGCAATTTAGCAAACCACTGGAGCTCTGATTATCTTTAAGATGCTTTAGAGTGTGGTGTGAAGAGCAGCTGGACTCCTGTCCAGTTTTTCTTCATAAAGGGAAGAGCTATTTTGCAACAATAAGCTAAACTTGGGTTATTAAAGTACGACACTCTAAAAGGCTTTGGGCTGAGGCAGCCTGGCTCTTTAGCAAATGGGAAAGGAATCAATAGACAGCATTTAACCATCTGGGCATCTAATCTGCTTTTCGTTGTAAAACTTTTCGTGTCTTGGATTGCAAGACCAAATATTCCTTCAAAGTTTAGTCTAAGCAGCCAAAAGCTTTATTAATTGTGTTTTGAATGATTAAACCATCACACACACACACACACACACACACACACACACAGTGAGAGCAGAACAAGAAATTATGGGCAGAAGAACATTAAAGAAATGTCCAACTTAGAACTAAAGAGGAATAATAATTAATCAGTGGAATGGCTTGCCTTCGGAAGTTGTGGGTGCTCCATCACTGGAGGTTTTTAAGAAGAGACTGGACAACCATTTGCCTGAAATGGTATAGGGCACAGGTCAGCAATCTGCGGCTCCAGAGCCGCATGTGGCTCTTTGAGCCTTCCCCTGTGGCTCCCAGCCTCCTCTGCCATTTGCAGAGAGAGACAGAGACAGAGACAGAGAGAGGCACTTGCACTTCCCTTCTCTCTCTCTGTTTGTGGTTTTGTGTGTGTGTGTGTGTGTGTGTGTGTAAAAGAGAGTAGACTCACGTTGTTCTCCAACAAGCTGAAAAGCTTTTTGGGCGGGGCTTCTCCCTTTGCTGCGTCTCTGCAGAAAGCAGGAAGGGCAGGAGAGAGCTAGCTAGCCCAGCTATGCTGACACAGGAATTCTGGGAGTTGAAGTCCATGAGTCATAAATGAGCCGAGGTTGCCTACCTCTGAGCTTGTTGGAGAACACCTTGAAGCCAGCTTGCCAGATGAGCAGAAGATCGGAGAGAGGGAGAGAGAGGGGGGGAGAGAAAGAGAGAGAGGGGGGAGAAAGAGAGAGAGGGAAAGAGAGAGAAAGAAAGAGAGTGGGGGAAGAGGACTAGCAGACAAGGGCAGAAAGAGAGAGAAAAAGAGAGGGAGGGAGGGAGAGAGAGAGAGACAGAGAGACCCTTTTGACATCTAAAATGAAGATAACACTGCATATATCCTATTTTACCTTTATGAGATATATGTATATGTATGTGTGTGTGTGTGTGTGTATGTATATGTATGTATGTATGTATGTGTATGTATATGTATAGGTATAGGTATAGGTATATGTATATGTATATTTTAAAGGTAAAAAAGGATATATGCAGTGTTATCTTCATTTTAGATATCAAAAGGGTTTTGTGCTCCCAGTTTTGTTTTCAGTGGAAAATGGGTCCAAGTGGCTCTTTGAGTGTTTTGGGTTGCCTACCCCTGGTATAGGGTCTCCTGCTTGAGCAGGGGGTTGGACTAGAAGACCTCTAAGGTCCCTTCAAATTCTGTTATTCTGTTAGGGGAACTAGATAGGTTTAGTCTAACAAAGAGAAGGATTAGGGGTGACATGATAGCAGCCTTCCAATATCTGAGGGGTTATCACAGAGAAGAGGGAGTCAACCTTTTCTCTAAAGCACCTGAGGGCAGGACAAGAAGTAACCGGCGGAAGATCATTGAAGAGAGATCCAATCTAGAACTAATCTAGAAATTGCCTGATAGCGAGAACAAATAATGAGTGGAACTGGCTTGTCTTCCGAAGTTGTGCTCCATCACTGGAGGTCTTCAAGAAGAGACTGGGCAGCTATTTGTCCAGAATGGTACAGGGTCTCCTTCTTGAGCAGGGGGTCAGACTAAAAGACCTCCAAGGTCCCTTCCAACTATTACTCTGTTACACTTGTGTAGTCAAGGGCACTCTTTCTGTAACAGTTATGTTCTCCTTCTCCTTTCTTTAGGGCAATTCTGGCCTGGGGTTCAGTATTGCTGGAGGAACAGATAACCCACATATCGGGGACGATCCTGGAATATTTATTACTAAGATAATACCAGGAGGAGCTGCCGCCGAGGATGGAAGACTCAGGTAATTTGTGCTTTCATTTTCTAACCCTATAATCCAGTGGTTCTTAACCTTTTTGAAAGAATCGCCCCCTTGAGCCAATGAGGAAGTTGTCATCGCCCCCCTCCCCCAACATAACCTCTCAATCACAACATAGGAAATAATTCTTCAATTTATGCAAACACTTTTTTTTGTTTTCTTTAAAATTGTCAACAGGACATATCGATGCAAATAATTTATTTCCAGTCTTTTTCCAGTATCTCAACTGTGTGAAAAACTTTGGTGCCACCCGTCACTTTATTCCCAAACTTCGTGATACATGTATTTCATTATTATTTATTCAAGACACTTAAATGTAATGACCACTGAAAACAAAATTCAATTGCAAGAAAGTGAAATGCCCAAAAAGAAAAACAGTAACGTTTAATGATTGAATTACAAGTGAAATTTAAGACACAAAAAGAAATATAAAAAGGGTAGAGGCTGCTGTGCAACACACATGAAGATAAGCGATGCGTCTTCACATATGTACAGCGTTCTGTACTGAAGCTAGCTGGAGGAACATTTGAAAACACAATTCAACCCACTAATAGCGAGCAATCTAATGTTTTTGTATGACAGATATGCAGCGGTTCACTGTATGAAAAAGTCTCAAAAGTGTCCCCAAAACTTCTCGCTCCATCGCCCTCATATCGCCCTCTTTTTGTTCATTCGCCCCCGCATCGCCCCTTTTTGTTCCATTGCCCCCCTGAAAAATGAAATCGCCCCCTGGGGGGCAATATCGCCCAGGTTAAGAACCACTGTTATAATCCATGTGACACTGTGCCACCCTTTCGACGCGGGGTCCCGCCGACTGAATTGTGCACTGTGTAAAGTACAGGCAATCCTCAATTTACGATCACAGTTGGGACTCGGGTTTCCGTTGCTCAGCAAGGTGATTGTTAAGTGAGTCACATCTGTTTTTGCAACCTTTTTTTTGCGCCATGGTGGTTCAACAAATGACTGCTATTGTTAAGCCAATCGTGCAGTCGTTAAGCGAATCTGGCTTCCGTATTAACTTTGTTTGCCGGAAGTTGACTGAGAGGGTCGCAAATAGAGTTCAGATGACCTCAGGATGCTGCAACTATCACAAATTTAGATCAAACCTTTTAGTCGTAGGGTTCGCTTGTTCAGCAACAGTCATGATTTTATATATGTGTTTTTATCCAGGGTAAGGGATTTCAAACATCCTGTTTTTTTCCTAGTAAGGAAAGAGTTTGAGGCTCTGGATCATTTGGATTGCTCTCTGCACTCTTTCCAACATTATTATATTATTCCCCCCCCCCCAATTATGGTGTAAGAGATGGGTCTCCAAGATCCCACATACAAATATATGTAAGGACATGAAAGTATGGGGAGATTTAATTTCAATCCCTTTCTAATAATGCTCAACACGGAATTTGTGTTTTTTTAAAATATAGGTATTACGCACTAAATTGTTAGGTTCTTTTACAAATAGAAAGAATAAAGGGGTGAGACAGCATTATTAACTTACTTCCAAGAGATTGTATACAAGAATCATCAAACAATTCTTAGTCACAGCTGGATCAGACAGATTGATTTTGTAAAGTTAGTGTTTTCCACCTCGGTTTATGGGATCAGCTGGGTATTATGAAGCTGCTGGTGAGGAAATACAGACAAATTTCTAATCCTTTTTCCTCATTATAATCTATGCTGCTGGTTAAAGAGAATCTGGACTTCTGCCTGTGTTGCCAAGTAGCATCCGTGGATTTACAATCTGACAGATACTTGTCAGCAATGCTGTTGAAGGATTTAAGAAACTATATATTGGGGGGGGGGAAGAAACCACATTAGAGCTGGAACAGCCAACAGATTCATGAAGCAGGGAACTGCTGACCACAATAGGTCCATTAATCAGCTTAATAGATTGCACTGTTCCTAGATCCTAGCACACGGGTGTCAAACTCAATTTCATTGAGGGCCGCATCAGCATTGCGGTTGCCCTCAGGGGGCTGGGTGGGTGTGGCCAGGGTGGGTGCAGCCTACTGGGTGGGTGTGGCCAGTTCTATATCATTCGCTGTGGGGGCCTGGGCAGGAGTGGGATAGATCTGAGGGTCTCTGGCAGAAGGGGGTGGGACCAGGGCAAGTGCCAAGGCATGGTCCACTGGAGGAACCTCACTGTTCCTCTCAGGCCATGCGGGGGGGGGGGGCTTATGGAGCTAAGACTGAATACGTTTCAGCATAGATGGCCACCACAAAATTGTACATTGGCTCCCGGACTACATGAGCTGGTGGTGAGCCTGATAAAAAAGCCCTCAGATCCGTGGCTCTGGCTGAGATGAGTTTGTTGGTTTGTTCTGAAAAATTATTGGCTGCCCATCCTCCTTTCCTGGACCAGGACTCTCTGCGCTCAGTCATTCCATCCCGAGTCATCTCACGACTGGACTACTGTAATGCGCTCTGCATGGGGCTACCCTTGAAGAGCATTCAGAAGCAACGACTGGTGCAGAGTGCACAGGCACAGGTGGTTTGGGGACACCCCCCCCCCAAGAAAGGACTTTTGGTACACCACTGCTCCATGGGCTGCACTGGTTACCAGTCTGCTTCCCGGTGCAATCCAAGGTGATCACTTTGAAAGCCCTTCATGGCATGGTCCAGGCTAGGGTTGATGGACTGTCTCACCCCACTGGTGGGGTCCAGGAGGTGGGCCTTCTCTCCTGTTGCTCCTGTCCTCTGGAACATCTTGCTCTCCCTCCCCCTTGATGCGAGATTGGCCTCAACCCTCCTATCTTTTCATAAGGGCCTAAAGATGTAGCTCTGCCAGTTGGCTTGGGCCCCCAGTCGGGGGACAGCCCAATGGAGGTGGTTGATCAAGTAATGACAGCTCCCACCCAGCCCCCACTTCACCCCTAGCCTCCCCTTGGGTCTTTGGTTTTGATTCTAACTTAAGCCGCCCAGAGTTAGCATAGGGTAAGATGGGTGACCGATAAATTTTATGAATGAATGAATGAACACATACATACATACAGTAGTGGTCAAAATTGTGGAAACCTTTTGGGGAAAGTATATTTTTGAGGTTTGATGGCTAATAACACCACTTTGTTTTGGAGTAGTACCATAAAATTATATATCAATGGAAAGCTAATAACACCACTTTGTTTTGGAGTAGTACCATAAAATTATATATCAATGGAAAGATAATTTAATCAAGAATGTAATGCAAGATAGTTTGTTCAATTATCTGTGCTGTATTCTATGAAAAGTTAAAGCCAAATAACCAGAAAAAGGAAGCACAATTTGCTTAGGTTGATATCAGGTAGGTTTCCTTCATCCGATGGTAGCCAATGAGCAGGAGTGTTTAGAGACCCAATCAGGTGTCATCTTGTTTTGGCCATGAGCCAATCAGATCACAGTAGGATTCAGTTATTGATGTCATGTATTGAAGCTGAGAGGAGGACATTTGTCAGTGTGTTATGTGATCGCTATCAAGTTGGTTGGGGGTTTGTGTGTTCTTTCATTTAGTGAGCTTGTAAAACATAATAAAATTAAAGTAATGGTGCAAAGAGTTGACTGGTTGCCCAGAAAGCAATGTAAAATAATATTATTAAGTAAACAAGGCTACAGTTATAAAGAAATTAGAAGAAAAATGGGTGGAAACTTAACCAAAGGTGGCATTTCTACTGTACACTTTTCCCAAAAGGTTTCCACAATTTTGGCCACTACTGTACATACATAAATCTAGCCTAGAGGCTACTCTGGCAGCTTCCAGCAATAAAATGGGGGGAAATGTGAAAAAATAACAACAGTAAAGGAATAAAACAATAAAAATAAACAATGGAAATACAATAATACAAAATTTTTTTTTTTTTTATTGAAAGTTTTATAAATTTTACAAAAAAGAAAAAATAATACAAAACAAGAGGCAACATATACAGAAAAATAAAACTAAACAATACATATATTAAATAAAAAAAAGGAAAAAAAAAAAACCCCATCCCCCAACCCTCCCAAAAAAAAAACAAAAAAAAAACCTCCCTTCCCCCCCCCCTGAGCTTCCCAGAGCAGAATATAGGCTTAAAAAATAAAAATAAAAATTAAATTAAAAACTTTATATTTATATATATAAAAAAATTATCTATAATATATATGAAAATAAAACTTATGAAAAAACTATATAATATTTTTGTATACCCAATCTAAATTGTATAAATTTTATCCATTTATCCCAAACAGCAAAAAACTTCTCTTGCGTTTGTTGCTTTAAGAAAGCCGAAATCTTTGCCATTTCTGCCAGATAAGCTACTTTAAGAAACCATTCCTGCAATGTAGGCAAAGATTCCTTCTTCCAGTATTGTCCTACTAACAGCCTAGCGGCTGTGATCAAGTTTAACATCAATACAACCTCCTTTGTATCACAATCTGTAACAATACCTAACAAAAATAATTGCGGAGTAAATTTTACCCTCCTTCTAAAAATTCTCTGGATATTCCACCATATTTTAATCCAAAATGCTTTTATCTCTCTGCATGACCACCAAATATGATAATAAGAAGCCTCCTTATAACCACATCTCCAACATTTGGGTTGCACGTCAGGATACATATAAGACATTTTTTGTGGATCAAGGTGCCATCTATAAAACATTTTATAAAAATTCTCCCTTAAGTTCTGTGCTTGAGTAAATTTGACATTTCTCACCCAAATAGTTTCCCAGGTGTCCAATGAAACTGGCTCACCAAAATTCTGCGCCCATCTAATCATACAATCTTTAATTAGTTCCGTTTCTGAGTCCAATTCAACTAAAACCCCATAAATTCTCTTAATGTGGGTTTGTCTTTGATCCTTCAGTTGCTTAATAAGGTTTTCATCTTCTCTAAGAAAACCCACCTTACAATCCATCTTCCATCTATCTAATAATTGCCTATATTGGAACCAAGAATAAGTAAAATTTTCTTGTGCTAACTCTTCCCGTGATTTTAATTGCCAGTTTTGTCCATCCCATTTAAGTAACTGTCTATAAGAC